GTGCTTGTGTGGGGAAGGGTGGGGGGGGGGGTGTTTGTGGGTGTGTGGGGGGGGGCAAAAAGCAAATCCCTGTAATGCTGTAATGAGGTGGAGTGGAGGGAGGGCAGCAGGTGTCAGAGAATGTAGGCGTAGCGAGGTTATCATTATCTTCACTTTAATGCCTCCGTCTCCTCTCCGGCCGACTCTCTCCTCCACTCCTCGCTCACAGCCCACCATAAATTATAGATGCTTATTAGAAAAGGCCAATATTCAGCGTCCGAGATCAACTCAGCACAAAGAGGCATAAAAGAGACACAAACAAACAGAAAGTGCTGATGCTGGGGTGGGGAGGGAGGGAGGGAGGGAGGGTGAGAGTCACGGGGGAGGCCAGGTCAGTAAAACCAGGGGTGATCTCTTCTCTTTCTAGGTCACCTCCTTACAACACGTGCAGTGAGTGGAGCTCCAGATGAAGACGGTGCCGCGTGTTCGTTTATAAAAAAAAAGAAAAACCAGAGAGAGTGAAATTAAAAACAAAACAACACATTCCTTCTGTCTGGGGGCCGTAACATCCAAGTAATTCTTTGTTTAAATGCAATTTAGGTTTCTTTTTCTTCTCCCCTTGTGTACCCAATTAAAATCTTTTTTTTTTTCTGCAGCAAGAGGCGGATTCACTAAAATAAACCCCAAAATAAAACAGGGAAGCTAAATTATTGATTTAATTTCATTAAATCGCTTGTTAGCGAGCTCATAATGAAGCATCATATTGCGGGGCTAATGCAGTCTGGGCTTCATCTGCAGCGCCTGCCTAATGGTTCAGTGTGACTTTGTTAAGCAATCGATAATTTGGTGTCTCTGTGAACTGTGTTGCTTTACAGCGTGCGATGTGATGCGCCGACACGGAGACGAGGAGACGGCGTCACATTTCAAATGAGTCACGTCCTGTGAGACACGTCGCGTTTGAGATTTACTGAAATTCTTCATCATGCTCGTGGTGTTAAGTTGCAGTGACTCAATGGAAATCGACGCTCGCTGTTTGTCGACGAGAACGTTTGTGATGAGAAAACCAAAGGATGAAAGAACCTCATTTAAACAACAAAGCTCTGGGTGCCAAACATACGGTGTGCAGATTTATCTTCTCCCTGTTAACTGAAGCGATGCCTCACTCTCTCTCTCTCTCTCTCTCTCTCTCTCTCTCTCTCTCTGTCCAATTGTTGTTTGAAGGACAGGTGTTACGAGCCTTTTGACAGCTTATCAAAATTCACAGAAACACAATCAATACGGCGGTGCTGTAAGACAGACAGTGACTGATCTACAAGTCCCTGCTGATCCAGCAAGCTGTTGCTGGAGTGTGTGTGTGTGTGTGTGCACACATCCCCCCCCCACCACCACCTAAATGCATGTGCTTAAACACCTGCGCAGGCAGAGCTGCTCTAAAACATGCATGCGTGCAAACACACCCCAGAGAAGGAGCAGAGCAAATGAAGCTCACACTCATCAGAAGCGCTGACATCAATCAGACACGCTCTCACCGTCGGCCTCCCAACGGACGCAGAGTCGCATCTGTCTCCCATGACAAGCGCTAAACAATTGCAAAGTGAGGAAAACCATGTCATCTCCATAGACAGCCGCGCAGGAGTCATCTTATTTACCCTGCCTGTAATTTTTTGCCTTTCTACAATTTACTGCTGTAAGTGTTCATCATATTTGGATGCAGTACACAGAGCGTCCACACAACAACAAATCAACACAACCAGACAGCTCATTTGAGAATGTTAGGCCTGTGAATGCCGGCCAGAATGATTCCCACAAAGCTCTGGGATTTGACCTCCCTCAGCACATATTGAAAGGCTTTTTTGGTAAAAAAAAGAAAAAAACAACAACACCGGGGAGAAACCTATCGGAAACAACAAACAACAGATATATTTGTAGCTCGTTTCTGGACATCTGCACATTCATACACTTGGACCGCTGCGTATTTGTGACAGGTCTCGTGTGGCACTGGCGTGCATCGCCCCTTTACCATCACCAAAACTATTTCATACTGTTCTGCAAAAAAAATGGGGACAAGAATGCACAGGGGCAAAGCAGAGAAGAGAGGCAGTCTGCAGGACGGGCTGAGTAGATTGGAAAAGACAGACGAAGGAGACAACTAATGGAAAATGTACACAGATGGAGCCGTAAAAAAAAAATAACCACAGGCACAGACGATATGTGATAACATAATAAAACAGAATATAAAAAGAGTACACTTTGAAGCTCAACCTTTTTTTTTTCAGCCACGGCTCATGTTTTACATTAGAGACGTCGCAGAAATATATGTGATGAAATATAACCATCTCCTCAGTTCAATTTACTGAGTGCTACAGCTGAGCCTGTTTAGTTGAACACAACCCTGACATACTCACAGGAATTGAACAGCACAGCTGATCTCATTTAGTGGAAGACACGAAACAAAGACAAATTAAGTGGAGTTAGCTAGTTTTCTGTGTCACCCCTGATGGTCTCACTAGTGTGCCGCGGGACAGTGGTTGAGAAACCGTACCCTTACCTCCACACAGACCTACAGTAAACGCCTGAGTAATTTGCGAGGTTGTCAGCATTTGTCGGGGTGATGGCAGTAAGGAGTGTAGACCACAGCAGCACACTGAGCGACTATGACTAAAAAAAAACTTTTTTTTTTTTTTTCAAAGGCTGCTACTTGACTTCAAACATCAGAATCAAAGTATCAAAGCTGACAGTTCAGTTTGTGTTTGCTTTGCCCCGAGGGACTGGAGGATGAATATCTGGCCCGGCGCCTGTGGCTGAGGCAACTGGGCCTTTGTAGTACATGAGGCAGCCTTTGGAGGGGACACATTTCTGCTTCATCCTCAAAAGCACAGTCTGACTGTCCTGGTTAACCTCTCGCTTCTAAAGTCCTTCCAGTCTCATTCTTCAGCTTCCTCAGAACCGAGGTCCTCCCAGAACAAGCTCTGATTATTCACAAACCTGGGACGTTTGGATGTGATCTGTGTGCGGTGAAGAGTTCTCACAGCCTTTAAATGATTCAGCGAGGATAAAGTGAGACTGGATTCCCTCGACACTCCACAGCTGGATGTTTTCCCAGCTGAATCTTACGACTTCTAAGGACTAATATCTCACGTCTCAGGTTAATTTGCACTTGATCTCCCTGAAGCTCGCCTTTTGAAACGTTTGAAATGCCACTTTTTACTGCGACCCACAAACCACAGCGTTGTGAAGATGAAGATGAAGATGTATTTGCTGTATAACTGCACAGAAACACATTTGAAAATCAAACTGTTCCTACCGTAAACTCCTTGGCTCCAGGTGAGAGGGCAGACACTAGAAAATAACAAAATCCAAAAAAGCTCCATGTTTAGCTCACTTCCGTCATAACCTAAGAAAACAGGGGGGGGGGGGAGAAAAGAGGGAGGAAAGGGTGAGGACGGAGGAGCAGCCTGCAGATGGATGTGACACACACGAGGCAGCAGCAAAGTAAAGGTGATAAATAGATGTTTTTCCCGGCGCTTTTCATGATGAACTGTGTCGCGTTTAAACATTTTAGTCGCTGCTCATTAAACTCACATTGTTTCACGCGCGTCATTCAGTCATTAATCGTGGATTTGTAGTGGTTTTACGCACAGCGTGGTTCTCCTCACAGCCAGGGGGAGTCAAGTCACCTGAAGCTGTCAACGATTAGGGTTTCATTCGGCTTTACTTCCACTCGAGCCGCCTTTGTGGGTGGGAGTTAAAGACACTAAGATCGGTGAAAACCACAGAAGTCACCGGGACCGTGTGCTCGTGGGGGTCACGCTCCGTGGCCCCTGCGACACCCACGCATCCGCACTCTGCCTTCAGATCGATAAGTGTTCGAGTCCCTGGACGGTGGTTCAGGTTAGACAGTGGACAGTGTTTGTGATGATGCTGTTGTAGTAACACTGGACCACTGTGCTGTGGACCGCTGAGCCGGAGGAGAGAGGAGGAGACGTGGCTGGAGTCTCTGACCCAAACCCGGCTCCTCCTCCTCCTCCTCCTCCTCCTCCTCTTCTTCCTCCACCTTCATGTTCGTGTGGAGGCTCCGGTTCTTGCTGCACTTTTACAGCCGTCAAACTTTCTAGATTCTGCACAGGATGTGAGTGAATCCGCGCGTCCTGCCGTCACGGTGCCTCCAGGACACCTGTTAACACTGATGGACTCTGATGTTTGCATGAGGACACGGTGTGAATTACACAGCGTGGGGTGAGAGACGTGCGCGTGTGTGGAAGCGATTGGACCGAAGATGGATGGAACTTTTGTAAAACTGTGACAGAGACGTTTTGGGTCACGTTCTTAAATGAGCGTTTTATTTTTTAAATGAAAAATGAAAAGTCAATAATGATGATTTTTTTTTTTTTTTTTTTACCATAAATCAAATTCAGAATAAAAGGCTGCCTCGGTGATACATTATTGCCTCGCGCTTCTCTACCTTGTCTCCGAGGTGCCGTCCGTACAGTCCGTCTGCTGCCCACCAGTGTGTGCACTCCTCCCGGCTCCGCCAACTGAATTCCTCCGCTCTCCTTCAGCCCCAGCTGCCTCTGCTGGTGTGTCCGGGGAAAAAAAATAGTCAAAAGTTGAATATCCTCCTTTGGTAAACGTCCAGTGTGAGCTTTACATTTCCCGGAGAGCAGAATTGAGGAGTTTTAAGCCTTAGGTTTCCAACAAAATAATCTCCTGGATGTGTTGAACTTTTATTTTACGCACGGAGTGGCGGCTCGACTCCAGGCTTTTCTCCCAAAAAGCTGCGAATAAAAGCACTTTATCCTTGGGAAACTAGAGCAGTGTCGGGGTCAGCGGGGCTCACACGCAGCCACGCTCCTCCGGTGTGGACGTGTTTCTGTCTCAGGCGTGGCTGGAGTGGTCTCCACTCTGACAGTCCACTGAAGCCCGCTCTGAGGACGAGTCTCCGCCGCTCGGTCAATCAGCGCTGTGTCTGCGGACTCCAGTGATGCTGGCCAAGTGGAATATGTGCGCAGACTGAGAACGACCGCCCCTGTCTGTGGAGAAGAACAGGGGGGGGGGGGGGGGGGGGGGTGGAGGGGTGGGGGAGAGGGAGGAGAGGGAGGACAGAGGCTTCTACACACGGATGCGCTCGAGCCTCACAGCTCCACACTGAACAGGTCGTCAGACAAACAGCCAGTCTCACTCTTCACTTATCACATGTTTTCAACTTTTCAGAGGTATCTGGG